ATTGAATCCCCGAAATAAAATATTGCGTTTTCTGTGACATTTTGACGATAAGCGGTTTAGTATGTACTAAAAGGTTACACCTACCTATCTAATCTGTAATGGGCTCAAGAACATAATTTGGATACTCGTTATCTTAGCTACAAATTTAGCTACAAATTTAGTACACGATACACAAAACGACAACGCTATGGAAACGCTGAAAATTTTAAAAACTAATGGTAAAAAACCTAAAATTACGCACATCGGCTTTATTTATCATTTTCAAAAAGAGTGTTCAAATTTTTTACGTTGGCGATGTTCTAAATTTAGCTCTTTAAAATGTCCGAGTGTACTTAAGACTAGTTTAAATATTGAAAATCCAATATTTGTTGGTCTTGATCATGACCATGTACATGATTCTAATAAAAATGCAGTCGCTGCTTTAAAATTACAAAATTCAATGAAGAAAAAAGCACAAATATCACATGCAACACCGAGTCAAATATTTGCTGAGTCTGTGAGTAATGTACCACATGCAATATTATTAGAATTGACAAAAGAAGAACAGGTAATTATAGATACTAATTAACGTTAAAAAAATATTTGTTCAACCATTTGCATGAGGTTGTGAGTAATATTGTAGTCTGGGGATTTTTTTTCCTAGGGTCGGGGATTTTTTTTCCGGGGTTGTTCGTCAGGGGTTTTTTTTTCCGGGGATTTTTTTTCCGGGGGATTTTTATTCCGGGATTCCCTCTGAACACTACAGTTGTGCACTTGTGCTTTCAAGATCAAAGTAATGCAACTTTCTCTACTCGGCGGCATGCACCGTAAAAATGTAAAATTACTAAAATTATGTCCTTTGCAGTCGTTGTGTATGGCCACAAAGTCCGCAGTCTGCACCGTGACAAACAATAATAATTTATCATCGTTTTAAAATTACACGAAATAAATTATTTGCTATTCCTTATATGGTAATCCTGGTCGACTCAGTCGGTACAGTTATCTTTATAATAATAATATGCTTATCATCATCATTCAGAGTTCAGACGTATCGGGTTTCTGTAGTCTGCGAGAGAAAAAGAGTTACACATTTACATTTTATACACTAAAATATTTTACGAACAACAAACATCCCCGCCGTATCGCTATTATATAGTTGTATTATTTTTATATTCTGTTTTCTCATTTTTCTTCACTTAATAGGTCCGTTACACTAGAAATCGGCGTCAACTCATCATTTACTGATTTATTAATTATTAGTGCTTAATTTTACTTACTACCTACAGTATTATTATACACAATGTCCTATTCTAACAGTGAGTCATCTGCACAAATCATCATCGTAATTGATAGATTTTTGGTAGCAAGTGACCGAAATATAATTTTGTCGTTTGATTATAGAGTACATATACTCAACACTACCACGTACACAAAGAGGGCAGCCGATCGTTTTGGGCGGCGATCCTAAGGGAAAAAATTTTCTCTACACAAACGGTAACAGTGTCATTATACGTGACATTGAGGTGAGCCTGTGTATTTTGTTAATTGTCAATAAACTGTTAATTAATATGTGTTTCGTTTGTTTCACTTGTTGTTAAGAACCCGGCTATATCGGATGTGTACACTGAACACTCCTGTGCTGTAAATGTTGCCAAATATTCCCCAAGTGGATTTTACATTGCATCTGGTGGTACGAGATCAAATATATTTAAAAAAATAAAACATTTACCGATAAAACGTAATCATTACAGATCAATCAGGCAAAGTAAGGATTTGGGATACTGTGAATAAAGAACACATACTAAAAAATGAGTTCCATCCATTTGGAGGGCCTATTAAAGATATTTCTTGGTCTCCAGACAATCAACGGATGGTAGTTGTTGGTGAAGGCCGAGAGAGGTACATGGGATCGTCTAACATTTTATGCTTTTATGGATTTTTGTATAGTATTTCCTTAAATATATTATACAATCTTTTTTTTATAGATTTGGTCATGTATTTATGTCAGAAACTGGTACTTCAGTTGGCGAAATAACGGGTCAGTCTAAACCAATTAATTCATGTGATTTTCGGCCTAGTCGTCCGTTTAGAATTGTGACAGGTAGTGAAGATAACACAATTGGTGTTTTTGAAGGTCCACCATTCAAGTTCAAGATGACCAAACAAGTAAATTTTATCTTTACTTAACTTGATGTATTTTATTTTATTGGAATAAAGTCTACCTAACTCTTTAACTTTGTACATTACAGGATCACTCAAGATTTGTTCAGGCAGTGCGTTTCTCACCCAATGGTAATTTCTTCGCATCAGCAGGTTTTGACGGTAAAGTATTCTTGTATGAAGGTACTAATGCTGATCTTGTGTCTGAAATTGGTAGTCCAGCGCACAAAGGAGGAGTTTATGGAGTAAGAAACTATCAACATAAAAAAAAAATGTATATTTAACAATTTTTTTTTACATAACATTGAAAAATATTAGGTTGCTTGGAGTGCAGACAGTACACGTCTATTAACGTCTTCTGGCGATAAAACTTGTAAGCTATGGGATGTAGAAACAAAATCTGTTATTAGTGAATTTGTGATAGGAAACCAAGTAGAGGATCAACAGGTTTGAGATTTTTTTTTATTGAATAATTTATTAAGATAATAATTTTTTGTATATTTCAAAAGGTTTCTTGTTTGTGGCAAGGAAATTATTTATTAACCGTCTCTCTTAATGGCTTTATTACTTACCTAGATGTCAACAATCCTGAGAAACCCATACGAATCATTAAGGTAATTCAAATTACCATTTATAATGTTTAAAGGTAGTAACTTTCCATAAAAAAAGTTCAAGGTATTGGACGTTTTTTTATTAATTAAAACTATAACTTATGTTCTAAAAGTATAATTATTTTCTTCAATACTTATAATATCTAAAATAAATTACATTAAATATTATAAAATATTAACCATTTTACTTATGTTTAATTATGTTTTGAATATTTAAATATAATTCATGTTCATACAATATTATACTAAGACAATTTTTTTATAATGAAAATATTTTTATTTTAATAATGTAAAGTAAAAATTAAATTAACATATTACAATTTCTAGTAGTTATATATATTATTAAAGTACACAATGTAGTTGAGCAATCATACATTTAAGAAAACTAAAATAGAATAAATACACTTTTCATAATTATAATAATTATTTAGGGTCATAATAAACCAATTACAGTATTGGCACTGAGTCCAGACCGTAGTACTATTTATACTGGTTCCCATGATGGCAATATTACAAACTGGAATGCTGAAAACGGTAACTATTAAGATTATAAGCTTTTTAAAATTTTGAATATAAAATAATATGATTGAAAAGTTAAATTTTGTTATTTCTTGAAGTTGAGAAAAATATAATAATTATTAATTACTGTTAAATACAATTAGGTGAAAATGACAGAGTAAAAGGCGTTGGTCATGGAAATCAAATCAATGGAATGAAACTGGATAATGATTATTTGTATACATGTGGAATCGATGACAGCCTTAGGCAAGTTGACGTTAAATCCAATTCATATACAGACTTGCAAGTTAAACTAAATGCTCAACCAAGGGGAATGGACTTTAACAGTAATGTGATTGTCACGGTGACGATTAAAGAGGTTATACCAAACATAATATTAATGAGCATAATAATAGTATTTTTAATATAAACATTTTATATGTTAGATAATAGTATTAAAAAACGAAAAAAAAGTATTTAATTTGCCTGTGGACTATGAACCTTCTGCTGTTGCTGTTAGTCCAGGCGCTGGTTATGTTGCGGTCGGAGGAGCTTTGGATAATAAAGTATGTACATAACAACTTCTAATCACATACCCAACACACAATGTTCGTCATGGTTTAATTGATAAGTAATCCTAGGTGCACATTTACAAAATTAATGAATCCACTTACACTTTGGAATTTGTCTCGGAGTGTGATCACTTAGGACCAATTACAGACTGTTCATTTTCACCTGATGGCGAGTACTTGGTAGCAAGTGATGCGAACAGAAAAGTCATTTTATACAAAGTGCCCGAATTCAATGTAAGTAAATAAAAATACCTTAAATCTGAAACAGCCACTATATTATTTATTTTGATTATAATGTTTACTTTACAATTGGATAGTCGGTAAGAAATATAATATAATATTGTTTTTTAATTGACTTTCAATAATTTTGGATCTTGTTTTTTTTTATACTTTAGCTGGCACATAAACAAGATTGGGGCTTCCATCTTGCACGTGTTAACAGTGTGGCTTGGTCACCAAATTCAAAACAAGTAGCCAGTGGAAGTTTGGACACTACTATAATTGTATGGAGTGTTACTTCACCAAACAAACATACAATAATAAAAAGTCAGTATTATAGCTTTTAGTTAACAACATGTATAACATAATTTTTATTCTAGACGCTCATCCACAAAGTCAAATTACACGTGTACTGTGGTTGGATGATGAAACTATAGTGTCGGTCGGACAAGACTGCAATACAAAAATCTGGAATGTTACGCCCATTTAATCTGGTACTACAAGTTAAAAGTCTACAATTATTAAAATATATTATATATATCTATTTTACTATTTATTTTTATTTATTTATTTTAGAATTGTTAATTAACCAATAGATATTTTTTTTTAATGAAGTAAAATCCAAAAATGAAAAATGAAAAATTTGCACTCATAGATAAATGGTGTCCTATTATTATTAAATAACAATTAGGTTTATGTTTTTGCCAATATTATAAATTTCAATCAATGAAAAATATATTATATTTATTTATTTTTTCAGAAGTGTTTATTTATTATTATTAACCATTTTATTTTTTATTTTTTAGTTTTCTTATTTCTTTCTTTATTTTAATAAATAATTTGCATTTATATTTTTCTAATGTGTAATAATAAAATAATAACTACTCTGAAATGATGTTTTTTTTTAGTTTTTATTTATTAATTTAATGTTCAAAAAAAAATGATGTAGGCAATTACAAATTTACAACGTCTCATCAAGTATTGTATATAAACAACTAAAATTTTTATCCAAACTTTCAATCACTTCAGTTGGTTTGGGTAAAAGTTTTTGTCTATGATCTTTTGGTGGTTTTGGCATTAGATGTTCTAAACATGGCAACGGTTCGTTAAAAAAATAAGGATGCAGTAATGCCTAGAAAAATTAAAAAATATATATTAGTAATAGTATTTAATTTGTTGATTTACTATGTTTTACAAAATTCTTGATTATTTTAAATTATAAAGGTTTAATACTAAAATAGTACCTAATATGAAAGAAAAAAAATAGTTGATAAGTACCTCTTGTGCATTTAATCTTTTATCAGCGTTGTATAAAATTAATTTTCCCACTAGATCAACTAACAATTCATCAATATCAGGCAACAATACATTTGTTGGTACTGGATTACAGTGTGTAAACTTCAGTTTATTATAATCTGGCATTTCATTCCTATTTGGCCATGTTTTGTCAGTTGGAGTCCCTAAATTATGTACAACGATGGCAATCTGTTCCATGTCAGAATCTCCCTAAAATTGTAATAAATGTTAATAATATTTTATGTTTAGCAAACAGGGGCCAACTGTGAAGAGTTAAGTGATTTGAAAAAATTATATTGAGATACACAAGTCAAAAATAACTGATCTCATCAACCAGTGGCTCGCGGGGTTCACAAGATGTGGAGCATAAATATTTAAACCCCTCCCCTCTAATTCCTGATGATTTTAAAATTATAATTTATTTATTCACTGGTGATAATGTAATATAATATATTATTGAAAAAAATATATTAAGAGGGCGCTGAACCCACATGTGTTATATATGTCTTACAAACGCATTACATAGCAAATTGTATGCAAACCTAACCGAGAATAAAGGTGTTTTCATTTGCATCTCTGCCAAAATGCAACCGACAGACCACATATCGATTGACTGGTCGTAGTGGACAGAGCCGAACAAGAGTTCGGGTGCTCGGTATCGGCGCGTCGCTACTTGGCCTGTGTAACATCGGTTGCTTTGATCATCTTCGGCTACATCGGTCGTCAACAGCAGACGACTCAAGCTAAAATCCGCTATTTTCAACACGCCTTCGGAACTTATCAGTAAATTCGCCGGTTTCAGATCCTAATAAACACGACAAGATTATATTACTAATATTGTATTGTAGGCACGAAGCATGAACGTCTCAACAGAGTACAAATGATCAAAACAAACATTCCGTGCACCCAGGCCCGTACTGGTCCACGGGGACACCGGGAATCTTCCCGGTGCGCCCCATGATCAATTGATAAATTAGCGCCCCTCTCCCCTTTTTTTATATCATTATTATTAGTGGTGGGCATATCCGGATTTCAAAAATCCGAGTTATTCGGATTTGTCAAATCCGGATTTAGTAAATCCGGATTTCACGGATTATCCGGAGTATCCGGATTATTCAACTCGATTTTGCTGTTCAATGACTCATATACGAACTTTGATATAATATAAAATTTTGTTAAATTTTCATTATAATAAAATAATTTATTTTACCATACATTAAAAATATTTGTAAGTCTGAAGTCACATAAAAAGAAAATCCATAAATCCGGATAATTCGGGAAATCCGGATAAGAATTTGATTCAAATCCGGATATTCGGATAATTCAGATATTCGGATTTCATGCCCATCCCTAATTATTATATAATTTATTTAGTATTTACTCTATAATATTAGAGTGTTCCTATTTCATAATATTATAAGGGTGTTATATCATACAAATGTTAAGTTTTGTAATTATTATGCATAGGTATTACTGTATTAGTGTATTACCTACCTACTGTATTAGCAGGAAGCTACATATTTTATGTAAATAATGTTTTCTAATCATTTATGACATTATTAACTATAGATCCATAAAGGCGACTTGTGAAATTCGAATACCGTAATCCATGTAAGACGAGTGACATTGATTATTGTTTTTATTTTGGTTTTTCTACAGGACACCTGTCTAATAAAGTATGTTAGAAAGGTAGGCTGCTAAGACATTTGTTGACTTTGCAGTTAAAACAATTGACGAAAATGAGCTTAGTGATATTGAAATAAAAGAAAAACTTTCGAAGAAACGCAAACCCAAAGTTGTTTGAATTAACTCGTGTTCAAGAAGTTCACAAAGAAGAAATTGATCAATTTCGTATACAAATATTGTCACGCCTGCACCGAAGGTTTGGTTTTCGATAGCGGTTGAAACGTTGAAAAGCGTCCTTTTTTCGTCCAACGGGCGGTAAAGTGGAAATCCCCAAAAAAACTGGGCGCAAATATTAATATTGAGAAAAATTAAAATCGTGATACTAAAAGAATGATATTATAGATTAGTATACACATAAAATAAATTAACATAATAGGAATTTACAAAATATGACACTCAGCGTCACTACATCGTGTAAATGCTCATCAGTCATCGCTTGATTCATTGATCTATACCGTGTGTAACAGAAAGAACTGACCAAAAAAAAAAAAATTGATGCTACTTAAATGTATGACAAAAATTGTTGAAATTATATGATTAGTAAATAGTTTTAAGAATATACCCATGTTATAAAATTTCCAAAAATAATATTTTTAAAAAAGCTATTGCGTTCCAAATTTATTTTATCAAAAAAATATTGATATTTAAAAAAATTCTAAAAAATAAACTACTAGACTTAGATAAATGTTTTTACCATCCAAATCGTTCTTAAAATCAGATTCACAAGTTTGCTATTTTGAATTTATTCAAAAAAATTTAAGTCAAATTTAAATTTTTTTATTTTCAGTATAAAAAAATAAAAATAATTTTTTTCCTCTTACATGTGTAGAGCAAGTGGCTATAAATTATATATAAAAAAAAAAAATTAAAAATAATGATCAGAACAAAAGTTATTCCAAAAGTCAGTTCCATCTGTTACACCCTGTATAGTAGCAGTAGCACTGTAGCAGAATATTTTCTTTTGTACACCTCAATCAGGGGCGTCATTTGGGCATAGGCGCAATTTGGATTAAATTTATGGGGGACGGGGGTGCTAGATTTATATCGACTAAAGTGGTAAATCGGGGCTTTGCCCCCACACCCCCTATTCATACAACTTAATTTTATATACATTCGCATTAATCTTAATACAATCAATTACCTATAACATAATGCACTTTTACCTATATTATTATTCTGATACCTAAGTATAATTATTATTATGAAAATGATAATCTTAGAAATAAATGTATCCAAATCCCTATGGAATAATTTTATAGTCATTAAAAATTCGATGATTCTATCAAAAATTTGGGGGTGTTAAGCACCCCCTAGTACCCCCCCCCCCCCCCCCAGGGAGTCTATTAATTTGGGGAGTGGGGATACAGGGTGTACATTTGCACCAACCTTTTTTTTAAAACGCCTTCTTTGGCCTGCCAACAATAAATATACCTAAGCATTAAGCGCCAATAACCTATGTGTCTTATACTATATATTACCTATCTTTTTCAATCCATTCCACAAAAACTGAGAAATACAGACACAAATTTGGATTCAAACATATTAAATTATTTTTTTATAACATCTTTAAATAATTTGGAATCATTTAGTGTTGGTGGCAAATGCTCTAAAATCGGTTGATGGTAAAGATACAAATTTAATATGTTAATAATTTTAATATGAGTCAATACTCATCAGACATTTTGAGGCCCTGAAGAAATATAGTATGAGGCCTGTGGCCTGCGTGCAATGCACACTCTGCACACTTGGATTTTATTAAATTTATGACATTTGTTGGCATTTTTCTAAAGAAATTCCTTTAGAAGTTTATAACCTTAATAAAGTTCAGATAAAAACTATTAAGATTAGAGGTACCTATATAAAATACTTTCCGTCCCGCACATTTGTCTCCACTTTCCGCGGTGTGTTTCAGTAATATTCAAATTTTATCAAGTTAAATTTTTAATTCTAATAATAAAAATAATTGTAATTGTTAATATTGTGTTATGGAGAATACAATATATAGGTAATTCAAAAATAGGTACTGGAAAAAATGTATTATTTTTCCAGTGAATTTTCTTATTGGCATATTACCCTGTGCACGATATTGGTGGCATGCATATGCACTACACCGGCGAGGAGCATACGAGCGTATGTTTTCAGATGAAAATCGTCTAGCCATATATCGTCGTCGTACAACATCTCTGGCAAACCGGACGCCACGAACTCGAGTACCAAATAGAAACTGAAACTGTGACAGAAATGATCCAACAACTTTACGACCTGAAAAACGGCAAATATTTTAGGTTCCTATTTTACTGCTTCATCTTAAGTACATTGCCACGTAGACGGAGATTTACTATTTAGTCGAACTTTAACGGGAGGGGGGCAAACAAGTACCCATAACATCATCGCATGTCCTCGATCATCAATGTTTTCAATATTTTTGTTCTCTTATTTGCCACAAATACCTATCATGAATTAATTTTATAATTTTACTATTACTAATGTCGTGTAAATCAAAAACAAAAAGAATCCAATTTTTAGCAACAAAACGTTTTTCTAAATACATAAGTTATAACTGCCATAACAATAATGGTGATATTGTCTGGGCCCTATAGAGAGTTCGTAAATTATTATTCGAGGGACTACCAAGCTCCACTATTCACCAATCTCCGCCTACACCAATCGACCATTGGCTGGTTTTTAATATTTATATATTATAACAGACGTAATCGGAATCCAGCGCTTTCAGTGATTCGATTTCGCGCAGCAAGTTCTTTGACGCTTTGTCCGATGAACGAACGCACTTAATAGCCACTATTTGACCAGTAGACCGTTCCATGGCTTGAACCACTTGTCCGTGAGTTCCTTCCCCGATCCGTTCCAAGATTTTATAACTTTCCATCGATGATTGTAATATTTAGATGTAACTGTGAAGTCGTGTTAGATTGCAATATTACAAATACATATAAGTTTTATAATGGCTGCAATGTTTGTATACACAGCTACTGTACAATTATGATAATATTGTGTATGCTGTTTAATATTATGGTTGGCACGGCAACATGCACCGACGAGCGACCATATTATTACTATTAGGTACTGTGTCATCGTTCTATTTTCATTTGATCAATTGGACAATTCGAGAGTTTTCGGTAAAAGTACTCCAATGCCATACAAATTATAATCTCCGGTTTTAAATTGCCATCGCCGGTTCGAACTCGGCTACGGGTGGAATTTTCTTCGGGCAGTCACGGTGTGCGGAGAGAGTCCTTAATCCCCTCGGCCACTCCGTCCCCCATTAAACATTTATTTAGCACTTATTTTATTATTTCCAGTGGTTGTAAATGAAAATTGCATTAAACACATATTATGCATAAATCCAATTTTTGACTTACTCTAACTTGGTCAGTTTTGAAAATAGAAAAAAACTTTTTATCCAGTAAATGTTCAAAAAAAAATACTCTACTCTACCCGAACCTGCAGAAAAAAACTGGGGTTGCCATTAAAAAAAAACTAAGTCATATTGCTCATGCGCGTACCGAGTGAGCTAAACATTTGAAACTAGTCTGAAAATATGTATTTAAATGTTCCCTATCACCTCCCGAAAACTCCATTTCAATACAAACATACAATGTCACCCATCTGAGATATTCAGTGGTACCTCTTAGCGTGAACACACTGTATATAAAAATTAAATGCTGTTCGTTTGGCTCAAATTATTTTTAAGATTGGAACGAATGAACATTTTAGGAAAATCCACCGGAAAAGTAGAAAATTTGAATGTCAAAAAATACAATTGTAGTGCCATATGTCCAGAAAAAAATTAATTAAATAATAAAAAAATTAGTTTCAGATTAAAATAATAATAGTGTATTGTATATTGGTTGCTATAGGTTAATCGGGCATGTTTGTTGATTTGTATTTTGTATTTTGTCAATATATATATATATAAATAAATGAATGTTTGTGTGTAGATTAGACCAATGGGAAGAAGACAGGCTAATTTAAAAACGGTTAAATTTGTTTTTTTTTTAATCATCTAATATTAGTACGGTTAGGATTTTGTATTAACTGATTATGTTAATCCACCATAAGTGGGAATGTGGGCTACAACAAACTTGGTATAACTTTGATACTTTAGAGTTAAATCATAAACTTACGTACAAACATCAAGGGGTCCGCGATCTACAACAGGTAGATTGCCTACCTGATAATATACTGCTACGAATCAGAATTATTATTATTATTCAGGGCAACGGAAAAGTTAAGATGCATTTTGAACACCATACACTGAATATAAAACAACGAATTGAACAAAGGTCGAGTCATATAGATTTGGTATATTTAACGGGTAACGAAGTACACGGGATCACTGATCAGCTAGTATGTATATAAAGATATAATGTATATTTAATCAATGCCTAAGCATTCTTAATTTGATTCATTAGATTTTTAATCACGTACAAAATTCTAACTTTAAATGCTTATAAAAAAAAGTCGTGCCAATGTATTTATAAGATTTTTCAACTGCTATTGAAACAATAATATATCATTAGCCTTGTATTAAATGTTCACGCTTTTTGGCCCAACAAATAAAACTTTATAGACTATAGTTATTCATAAAAAAAAATGTTGAGAATATTATCAAGTATAGGAATTGATAAAATAAACATTCAATAAAATTGTCATGTACCTATCTACCGTTATTATTTTGTTAAGTGAGAATTTTTCAAACTGAGAATTTACAAATTATTTAGTAGTTAAAAATGTATAAAATGTTCAACTATTATAGCTAAGGATTAAAAATTTAAAACAAGGTTCCGAGTAAATAGGTAATATATAAATTACTTTATTTACAATAATATCATCAAATATACTTAGTTATATCATATTCTGACAGTCTTCACTCAGAATCGTTTTTCTTATACCTGCATTGATATTATATCATTGAATTCAAATTTAATACTATCCATTACAGTGACCAACTAGTAACCTATACTGTACAGTAGAGCGACACCCACTTGCCACCTTTTTATTTGTCAAAGATGTTATTATTTTGTGTCTATCGTTTTTTTTCCTTGTTCCTCCTACGATCAAATCACTTGATTTAAAAATGTTTACCATTTGATCACGAAATGTTATGGTAAATCAATACTTATTCAAACATTTTTAATTTTCAGGTTCTTTAGTTTATAAGTTTTTTTTTTTTTTTATTTGGAGTAAAGAGACTTAAAAATCTGGGAAACTTTTACTGAAATATTCAAACGAAAGGGATACAAAGTCAATTGACAATTATTCATAACTAGGCGGCTCCCTTATGTCAAATCCAAAAAGAAACAGAAACTGGAGTCCAATTTGAATTAACTTGTCTTTACAAACTTTTCTCAGAACTTACCGATGACTAGTCAAGGTTATGACTTACGGCTAATTGGTCAGAATTTTGAAACAACTGACACACCTATTGTTATAACTTATAGTAAATACAAGATTGAAGACTGGATAATAACGAGTACCTACTTGTTACGAAAAAAAGAGCTGTTTTGAATCTTTTTATTTTAAAAACTTACAGTAGGTACCTAGTCAGTTTATAAGTAAATGAAAGTAAGAATCGTATTGTCATTTCTTATTCAATAAAATTAATATCGACTATCAAGTTATTGGTGTATGTATATGGGATATTCATATTCAAAAGTAAAATCCTTAACTTAATTTTTAAAACTAAAAATACAAAATTAGACTAAATTATACATAATGCAATCATATTTATTCATAAAAATGTCTATCCAAGATACAATAAATCTATCCTATCAGTACATAAAATATTAGAAGTAAAGACGAATTTACGTTTTCACTTTATTTTTTTCATTTTTATATTGGCACAAGTATTTGTGAATAACTAATAAGGAACATGTTTTGATTATAAATTATTTTCTAACAGCTGAAGTAACAATTTGTTTATTTTTATATATATAATATATATATAAAAAAAATTATACATATAATATTAAATATAGTAATAGTTATAATTTTTTAATAAAAAATATTCAAATTAAATAAATAATAAAAACTAGAACGTTTTTTTCCTAAATCATTGAGGAAATATTAATTAAAACTAAACTTTTTATTTACAAAAAATAAAAATAATTAATTAACATATTATGTTTTATAATACTTTTTACCTATGTGTTAACCACATTATTAAAACATCAATATCTATAAAACTATACAACAAAGATTAAAATATTTAAAAAATATTTTTAACAGTATAAGTCTAATTTTTTGCATTTTACAACCTAAACATTTCAGGTACACAACCTAAATATTTTTAATTAATTTGTTAAGAATAAAAGTTTTCTCTTTGTTGGTATAATGGAAGAGGTTCTTCTGGTGATAATTCTCGATCATCAGCATTTATTGAATAACGTTTTTTATTACCCACTTGAGCCATAGCATTCACTACAAAAAAATCATGAAAAATAAAATATTAGAATCAATTTTTTGTTTACTCAAATATTCAAAACAACAATAGTCAAACAATTTTAAACACACCTTCATGCTTTTTAATCAATCAGTCTCTAGTATTTGTGGGGCTTGCACCTACAACAAAACGTGTGACTACTCAAGCAGGGTAGATAAAAACACAAAAAAAATAAAAACAACATAAAAACTCATGCATTTATAAAACTTATTTTATGAATATTATATTAAGTTCAACTTACAAGCAACTGATTTACTTTTCTCCATAACTTGTTGTGCCAATATTTGATTCAATTGTAACAAATGGTCTCTTTGCTTTTTTTCTTCAATCATCTTCTTTCTGCCAACGGTTGTATATTCATCATTCTCTCCTTCTAAATGTCAATCAGTCACTTAGTATTCATATATTATACATTAAGAGAACAGTAAGCTGTACCTGTAGTAAGTATAGGAGTAGATTCTGACAACATTTTCCTGATAGCTTCAGCTTTGTGCATTCTCTTTTTACGTTCGTCTGGCGACACAGGGGCTGACTCTGGAATATAACGTTCTGGTATACATATTTTTCCAGGTGTTCCTAATATACTATCTATAGTTTCTGCACTAAATTTTGCAGGATCAGTCTTGTTCATGGTAGATCGAACCACATCTGGAGCACCGGGCCTAAGAGCTCGTTCCATATCCACATCATCTCGAGCTCTCCAACCACCATCTCTCTAAAATTATATAATATTAATTTTAAATAAATATATATTATTGTTTCGTGTAAAATAATGTATAATATGTAAACATTGTAAACTATTATATTTTTTGAATTTACATTGTAAGGTTCTGTAATAGAAAACAGTCTGACACTTGTTACAGTGTGATGTCTGCGCTTTTCTCTTGGTACCAGTCTTTTCGTTAATGATTCGTTTTGCTCAATGTTATCATTTTGATCTTTTTTTGATAATTCTTGTACAATTTGCCTAGCTGCTTCACTCTGATACACTGGTGATAAAGGTGCATCATCTTTTGGATGATCTTCATTGTTAAAATTTGAATACATATCATATGTAATATTTTCTTGGGTTGTGCCAAATAACTGTTCTTGTGCTGATAGTTTTTTGACGTAATTATCTTCAACCTGAAAATAGGGAAAACAGTTAAAAAATAATTTTTATCATTAATTAAAATAATTTATTTCTTACTCTATAGTCATTTTCTTCAATAACAGGTACACATTTAACACTAACACTTGTTAATGGAAGACCAATATTACCACCACATTTATCTCTATCTCTCTGTCGCCTCTCTGATTCTCGTTTGACAATTCTCACAGTTTTTATTTCTTGTGGCTTTTCTCTTGGAGTATAAACTAAAAAAAAAAAATTCCAATTTTATTAAGTATTAACATTAAAAACATTTTATTTTAGATGTAATTTA